ACTCACTCATTCACTCACTCACACACATACTCATTCACTCCCTCATTTACTCACTCATTCACTTGTTTATTCACACACACACACACTCACATACTCGTTCACTCCCTCACTCATTCACTCACTCGCACACATACTCATTCACTCCCACATTTACTCACTCATTCACTCACTCACACACATACTCATTCACTCCCTCACTCATTCACTCGTTTATTCACACACACACACTCACATACTCATTCACTCCCTCCTTCACTCATTTATTCACTTGTGTATTACACATTCACTCACTCATTCACTCACACACACACTCACATATTTATTCACTTGTGTATTACACATTCACTCACTCACTCATTCACTCACATACTCACATACTCATTCACTCCCTCATTCATTCACTTTTCCATTGGACATTCACTCATTCTATCCCTCACTCATTCTCTTCACTTGTCCATTATACATTCACTCACTCACTCATTCACTCATTCATTCATTCACACACTCACTCATTCACTCACATACCCACCGGCGCCTTCACCAACTGGGGTAAGTGAATGACAGGGTCACATTCACTTATTCGTTCACTGATCCACTCCCTTGTTCATCCCTTTCCTCTTCCATACCTGCTTTAGCCACACTGGCCTTGCGACTTTGGCACTGTAGTCTGAGTGGCACAGCCCCCAGTGTGTCCACTCGTTTGCTCCGTGTCTAGTATGGGAAGCTCCCTGAGCCCCACCCCCACTCCCACTCCTACAAGCCCTGCACTTGCTTGCCCAGCTGTACCCCTGCAGTGATACCTTCTTCACTTCCCGGTCTAGTTCCTTCTGCCTGTGCTTCACCATGTGACCCCTCTGGATTTAAATACACAGCAGGTGCCCAATAAAACTGGTGGATTAAGTGACTAAAGAGCCACAGTACCTCCTGCTACACACCCACTTGGCACCCACAGCTCTGGAAGGTGCAGGGTCACTTGGTACTTCTCCAGCAGAGGACATCAACATCCTTCCCTGAGGGCAACCATGCAACAAGGTTGGCCCAACCCTAGGCCCACCCTGGGCCCTATGACCCAAGCTGCTAGAGTGGGATCAAGTTTGGGCCTCAGCCTATTGAGGTGGTGCTGGGAACACTTGGACTCAGGAGGGCCGGGAGGGGTCACCACGCACCTCAGAAAGAGCTCTATGTGGACCACGGCCGGTGCAATCTTCTCTACCACATCAGCAATGAAGTTGAACTTGTACCGTGGGCTGGTCAGCTGGTGAAGACCTGCGCTGGCAGGAAGGATCAAGTGTGTCAGTGGGAGCAGGACACTGCCAGCTCCTAAGAGCCCTGCCCACAGGAGGGAGGAGGATGCTCCTCCAGAGACCCCTGCCCAGCCATGCTGAGCCCTTAAGGACCCACATGCACAACAGTGCAGCGACACCCAGCCACTAGGGAAAGGGCTCACTCAGCCGGAACACAGCGAGCAAAAGCTTCCACTGCTGAGCTGCCTTGCCTCACCAGTGCTGGCCGGCCCTGCCAAGAGGCTCATGGAGGCCAGGACCCTTGCTCTGGCCACACTGGAGTGATGCTGGGATCAGATCGGGGGTCAGTCCCCCAGGACCATTCCTGTTCTTTCATACTACAGCCACACCCTTGGAGAACTGTCCCTTCTTGTCAAGGGCAGGCCTCCTAAACCCTGGATAAGAGGAGGCCCTCAGAGCATCCTTTTGAGCTACCCCAGTCTGGCCATAGTGTGACCCCCTTCTGGGTCTACAGAGCTGTCAATTTCTGAGTCCACAGGGCCCTACATCTATGTCTAACTTGGGCTCACCCCGGTCTGACTTGCCAGGCAGTTGAAGAACTTCCCTGGAACCTTCATGGGTTCAGATTTCTGCTGCCGTCAGCAGTGGGGACTGCGGTTGCCAGGACTACAAGCCTGAGGCGTGTGGGTGGCACAGGGCCCACAGCCCTTTGGTGCTGAGCTCTCCCAAGCTTCTACCATCTGGAATTCATGCTGTTCAGTGTTTCTGGGGCTCCTGGGCCCAGGAAGGAGCTGTGGGCTGGCCTTGCTGTTTTACAGCCATGTGGCCTCAAACAAATCACCTACACTCTCTGGGCCTCGACTCCTCATCTGAAATATCAGACTAAAGATGCTTCCTGACCCAGGCCTATGGGAAGTGGGTGTGATGTGACTGTAATGTGGGAGGCCCCCTGCAGCACCCACCTACCCCACCACCAGCAGCTAATGATCTTCTCTTTTTATTTTTATTTATTTATGTATTTTGAGACAGACTCTCACCTATCACCCTGGGTAGAGTGTTATGTGTCATCATAGCTCACAGCAGCCTCAAACTCTTGGGCTCAAGTGATCCTCTTTTCTCAGCCTCCCAAGTAGGTGCCTGGCACAATGCCTGGCTAGCTTTTCTATTTTTAGCAGAGATGGGGTCTTGGTCTTGCTGGTCTCCAACTCATGAGCTCCAGCAATCTACCCACCTCAGCCTCCAAGAGTACTAGGATTACAGGTGTGAGCCACCATGCCCAGACCTGATGATTCTCTTAATGACACCTGGGGATGGGCCAGATCAGGTTCTCCAGCAGGTCTCAGCCTGTGGGTCACGACCCCTTTTAACTGTATTACAAGTTCGTGGCATTAGGAAGGTTGAGAACCACCTTTGGAAATCTGGATGTCCAGATTGCCTAGAAGTGCAGAGGTCACCAGCTGAATGCAGCTGTGAGTGCAGGGCCCAGGCCTGCAATTCAAGCACTGTGAACATTTGTGAGGCAAGTGCAGTCCCTACACACAGCCCATCATTCCTCAACTCTCCACATGGCAGCCAGGGCAGGAATCTTTGCCTCTTCTTTAAAGGTGGGGAAACTGAAGCTGGCAGAAAAGCAGGATCTGAACATGCTGTGGGCTCCTTTCTCAGTGGTTCCTACCTCCTCCCTGTGGTTCCCAAGGCCCTGACTAGCCCTTCAGCATGAACCAGGACTGCCACAGCTGGCTTAAGCTCTGCTGAGGGACAAAAAAGGGCCACCTCCCCCAGCTCCCAGGACACTTGCCTCTCACCAGCCAGTGGATAACTGGCAAATGGGCTTTGACTACTGTGGTCAGCATGAATCAAAAGCTGTCTGTCCAGGGCGGCCAGAGCCCGGCTGGGAGATGCTGGCAACCTCCAGGAGCCCTGGTCCCAGGAGGCAAGCTCTGTGGCAGGCAGGGTCTCAGGGTTAGAGGTCATGTTAACAGCCCCCAGGGGCAGGGCCCCTTCCCTTGCAGGGCTCCCCATGCACAGGTCTATTTCCACACAGTTTGCTGACCCTGCCGACCCTCCCAGAACTGCATAGAGCATGGCTGGCCCAGGTGGTGAAGCTGCCTGTGCAGCCCTCGGGCTGAACCCAGGCCTGTCCGCTCACCTCACAGTCCTTGGGAGCTCAGGATCATCTTCTAGTCTGCCCCTACCAAGCAGAGGAAAAGGAAGCCAGCCACAGAGCCTGCTGCCCTATCAGGTCCAGTTCTCCCCTAACTGAGGAGAGGCTCCCAAACTGATAATCTGCAGGCCCAGGGGCCCCAGGGGAACCCCTAGGCTCATGCCCTTCCCCTTGCAGCAGGAGGGACCCCCTGGGATCACCTGCTCCCCATGCAGAGCCCAGGTGCTGCATGCCAGAGCACTGGCAGCCCAGGTCAGGCCAGTGTCACCTCTCCTTGCTATGGGATCTCTGACAGGCCACCTGTCCTCAAACCTCTGCTTTTCATCTACCTGCCTTTCTTTTTTTCTTTCTTTCTTTTTTTTTTTTTGACATAGAGTCTCACTATGTACCCTAGGTAGAGTTCCATGGTGTCATAGCTCACAGCAACCTCAAACTCTTGGCCTTAAGCGATTCTCTTGCCTCAGCCTCCTAAGTTGCTGGGACTATAGGTGCCTGCCACAATGCTCAGCTATTTTCTTTTTGTTGTAGTTGTAGTCATTGTTGTTTAGCAGGCCTGGGCTGGGTTCGACCCTGCCAGCCCCAGTGTATGTGGCCAGTGCCCTAACCACTGAGCGACAGGCGCCAAGCCTCACCTGCCTTTGTGTGCCTCTTCCTACCTCTCCCTACCAAGATGCTCCAGCTGGCCCCTAGCCTGGCCCAAATCCCATCCCCTCTCCCCAAGCAGCAGCCCAGCAGCCTTCTCTCTTAGTCGGATGGGCCCCATCTCTGCTCAGGGCTCACAACGTGATGCCGCACCCACAGCTCTCACTCTCCTGTGGGGTTTATTCAATCCATGCATGCAGGTGCCCTCCACGTACCCACCTGTGCCAGCTACTGGAGACAAGTGGTCCAGCTAGGGCTGAGGGGCAGGTGGGTACCAGCCGAGGCCAGCACAGTGTGCCAGGACAAAGGGGAAGCCCAGGGGTGAGGTAGGTGGCCAGAGGTGCTTCTGCTCCAGGCCTGAAGGAGCCCACTGGGCAGGGTAACAGCATCATGAAAAGCCTCAGGCTGACCCCAAGTCTCCCATGATGACAGCACATTTATTTTGATCTAGCAGATTGAGAACCGGGCCTGGTGTGTGAATCTACCAAACGGAGGCAGAAAAATGTGTTTCCTCCCCACAGGAATGATGAGGACAGGCTGCACTGCCCATGCCTTCACCCTGGATCTCAGAGAACTCAACACTGGGGCCAGAAAACCTTTGGGCACTATCCTGTCCACCCCGCTGATCAGCCTTGCTCAGGTCTTGTCACGGAGGGCAGCAGAGCTGGGGGCAGAGCCGACCCCCTTGACCCTCCAGCCCTGGTGCTGCTCAGGCCTGAGCTCTGCTTTGGCCTCCCGGAGAGCGAGGGACACAGTGGCCCCAGGATGATTTTCTCCCATGTGGTCTCTCCAGAGGTCACTTAAAATAGGTGACGCTCTATTTTATATAGTATGATTAAACTTCTATATATTATTCATAAGTAAAAGCCTGGCTAGAAAACACATCAAAATACTACTACATAGTGGTTATTTGGGGGCAGGGTAAAGTTATTTTTCTTTTTTCATGGACTTTTCAAATTTTTTGGCATAGGTAAGATATACAAATAAATCTGTTAAAAAATGAGATAAAGCAGGGAAAAAGAGCAAGGCCTGTGAGGAGAGCCTCAGGGATGGATTGGAAGGTGTGAGATCGTGCGAGGCCACAGTACTCCCCAAAGGAAGTCCTCCTGGCTTACCCTGCACCCCATGCTGCTGGGACAGAGACATGTCAGACGCACCCCACACTCCAGCAGAGCCAGCACTGGCAGCCTGAGACATTTAGGAAGGAGGAAAGGAACGAGGGAGGGAGGAAGTTCAAGGATCCTTTGCTGACTCTACCTGACCCAGCACACAGTAGGTCTACAGACACTACTGGAAAGAAGGAACATCTTTCAGCCCCATAAGAGCAGCATCAGTGGCCTATTTTATGACCTAGGAAACTGAGGCTCAGAGGTGAAGATCACTCATGGCAAGGCAGGCTGGCACCACCCCAGGTTGGGTGGTCTTCAGTGTCTGAGTGACCTTAGGCCCTGGGGTACCCCCACTGGGCCCTGTTCCTTTAAGTCTACCCTGGGTGGGTGGGGGCAGGGCCTGTGTCCCCTGCGCTCCTCCCTACTCAGATGAGTCACCCATGAGTCAGGGGAGGGAGGACGCACTTCCCACTGCCTCTTTCCACATGAAAACCCTGGGCCCCCACGGCTGGGAAGCAGACTCTGTTTGTTTGGGGTTATTTGACAACCCCCACCCGAGCCTCAAGCCAAAACTCTGAAGTCAACAGGCACTCTCAACCAGATTCAGCTGGGAGCATTTTTTTTTTTTTAAAATAAACTATAATCTAAAGGTCCTGGGAGTTTTTGTCAGGGGAAACTTGACACAGAGCAAAGCACAAAGGCCAGGTGTCTGGCGGAGCCTTCTGGGAGACGAAGGGTCAAAATCGTAAGAGAGGCAGACTGGGAGAACAGCCAGCAGGGAGAGAAGCTGGATTTCGGGGCTCCATCTCCCACATTCCTGCTGTGAGACAGTGGCACACCCTGCAGGAGGACTACACAGGGCCTACACAGGGCTGCCTTGAACTGCTGCATACACTGTGCACTGCACAACCCCAGGACCATCTGACAAAGATCAGTGTGGCTAGCTTCCCCCAGCACCGTGCAGTATATAACCTGCCCAACTGTAGGCATTAGCCCCTCCAGCACACAATGGGCAGAGCCAGGACTGAGACCCATTTCTGTTCCTCTAACTCTAAGGTCACTGCCCCCTTTTTTTATTGCCCCCTGCAATCAAAGATCCCTCAGGCA